AGACAACATTCCTGCATATTTCTTTAATTACCACCAGTATATCTTTCTTCTTCTCTTGGCAGCAAGAATCTTTAAATCTGTCTAATCAGAACTAGAGGAAGGACTAGTGAGCACGTTTTCCTTTTCCTGAAAGACAGCTGTCCTATGTTTTTTTGCATCAAAATCAGAAGTTTAAAAAAGAACTAGGTTCTAGAAGATCAAACTGAATAAAGTATGAATTAAAAACCTGGAAGACAATAGATGTGAAAGATTGCACCCCCCTGGTGCCATGGAAAACCCTCTGCAAGGGGGACAGGTGGGGCAATGTGGGTGTTAACTTTTTCTTTTCCTCCTCCCTCCAGCATGCAGATACTGTGGGACTCTGTGGGACCAGTATAAACTATGTTCCAGCCAGCACTGCCGGCAGCTTGTCCTGACATGTCCAAGTTGTCGCAACAAAGGTCTTACTGCTTGCTGTCCTGTTTGTCAAGAGAAAGAGCTCACGGTGACTTCAAGGGCTTCAGGACAGATGCTTAAGGAGGAATGTGAATGTACAAGGAGTCGGCCAAGGGTACCTATTGAACACGTCTTGCAAAGGACGCTGGATGCAGGAAAAGATTAAGCAGTTTCATTAGCTAATCTGACACGTGCTAATGAGAAGGGCTTCTATAACCAGATCCCTATCTGTTATTCAGTTAGGTTTGGAAATCATGAAAATGTCTTGGCTTAGAAAGTGTTGTTTATATGCTGCCTTTAGGCCTACAGTATGCCCTGAAAACCATCCATCACGTGACTGTAAATTACCAGAGTGCCCAACCCATCACCAGCACTACAGGATTCCTCTCCCTGGATACAGTCTTGTAGCGTGGCCTCTACTATGGGGATTTTGGAGCAGAGTATGTGTGATAGGACACAGCTGCTCACAATTCAAAAGAAACTCAAGGTGTCCCTGGCATGGCAGGGGGGTTGGAAGTAGATGATCTTTAAGGTCCCTTCCAACCTAAACCATTCTATGGTTCCATGATTCTGTGACATAAGAACAATTCCATTCTTTTCCTCCTGCACAGAGATGGATCTGTCTGACCTCTCCATTGATCATGCATTTGCTTCAATAGCTAGTGCTAGGGTGTGAAAACAGCAGATGTATCAGTTGGGTGTGGTTATGTCACCAGATTAGAGCTGAAGATGTTTTCCACGTACACACCACCTGCCTGCATCTCTTGCTTTATACCAGTGAGCAGCAAAGGGTAGTTACCTGAAGTCACCGACTTGACTCCTGTGTGAAACTGGCTGAAGACAGTGTAAGGACCCCTCTTGTAACTGGAGCAAAGGCCCACAGATACCATCTGCCCTGCCGTACTTGTTGTGTGGGACTTGTAGGATGAACAGCAAAAGTAATCCTTATTCCAATGCTCTGTCTCCCTGGGAACTGTTGTTTCCCTCAACTTGTCAGTACATGAAATATCCAGGGCTCAGCTCTGCTTGCACTACAAAAATCCGACAGCTTGAAGCATGTTGAAACCGAGACACACAGAGAGGGGAGCACAGAGACTGTCAAAATACCAGCATTATGGCACTGGAAGTGATACTGACATGTGCATAAATGTCCGCAACAGCTATAAGGAAATTGGAAGATCCTTTATCCAAGTTAAATCATTCAAGATTTGGGAAGCATTTGTGCTTTATAAACATGGGCTGAGTTTTTCAAAAGCTGTGAGATGTTTATGCGATTTCCAGCTCCTATTAGTAGAGAAATTGGTTTTGAATTTTAAGGGATCCACAGCATATGACCGCAAAATACTTTTCTGCCTGCTGCTTTGTGTGCCTGATGCTGTATAATATACAGAAAGGTTTTATTAATAGTGTAGATGATGTGTCTTGGCTGAAAAATGTCTTTTAAACTTACTGTCATTCTTGGTACTGAATAGTAGTTAGTCATTAGAGAATCAAAATCACTTACTAGGTTTTTGGGGATTTTTATTGGCAACTGCTTTTAAAAGCAAGAAAACAGTTTACTCAGGTTTATGCAGTTGCTTAATGACAGTTGGGACAATGTTATTTTCATATAGATTGTCACTTTCTCCCACAGTGCTATGGATTCAGCAGGCCTCACTGTTGGCTTGACTGGCAACTTCAAGACATGGACATTGGTTCCATTAAAGCCATGGCAAGCATTTCTTATTACTTCCAGTATTGCTACCATGAAATCAGCGGGCCTTTCATGAAGCAAAACTCTGAAACTTACAAATGTCTCCCTTGGGAATCTTTCTAGGATGGTATTTAATAGTAAATCTGTGCACAATCCATACTGGAGAAGAAATTGGAAAATTTCCATTGGTTGACTTCTTCAGCAAAAGTCTAGGCAGCACTTATGGTCCCCTGGCATCTTGCCTCCCAAGCTTTGCTGGCCAGTTTACCTCTGTGCTTTTGAGGACTGGAATATTTGTGGAAAAACATGCAAGGTCTACTTGCAGGCCTAGTCTACAGCACTGATGGGAATGCCCCAACTTGCATATTACAGTTTCTCTTTTCTTCATGCATTAGGCTAAAAAGAACACAATTTTATAATTCAGTCTATCAGCAAGGCTGGAACACTGCAATCTATTTGGAAGGCTGTTTCTATATCACTTATCAGTACAGAATGGCAACAACTATATTTTATATGTAAACTTCTAAAACTCCTATGAGATGATAAATAACCTTTAGTGCTTCCATGGTAATTTCTAAAGTACTGCACAAATACACTTCACCTGTTACGCTGGAGGTGCTTAATTCTGCAGAGGTAAATACTGAAACCTAGCTAGCTGTTTGCCACGTGGTAGACCTGACTACAAGGTACAATTCTCCTGAGAGCTCCTGGTAGCTGGATATTCTACCTCAAAGGCAGAGGGGAGCCATGGGGTCTCCTCTGGTCCTTGCTGCACTAAGGCAAGGGAGGAGAAGGGTTTAAGATGTACAGATGGAGGCCCATAAAGCCAGGTTCCCTCTGCTGCAGAGAGGGGAGTCAGGGGATAAGAGACATCCTTAGGCTCCCTCTTGCAAGTTAGCCTGTGAGCAGCTTCTGTATCCTGCCTTCTGGATTAGTCTTGTCAGATTAATACAACTAAGGACTTGCCATGTGAAATGCTGTGTGGTGGGATCCAGGCATCTCGGTGGTAATGCCCGAGAGAAGGCACATATTAGCTCCAGGAGAGTGAGAATTAAGCAGGATTGCATGTGACTGCCAGATGCTGCAGTCTGCAGATGGCTTTTTCCCCTTCTGGAGAGATGCTGGGACAAACAGTGATCCATTTGCTCTTATATATCATCGTTTTGTAGCTCTCTTGCTGCACAGCTTGATGCCTTTTACCACAAAGCCTGATGCCTCTCGGCACAGCCTGACTGCTGCACAGCTCTCAGCTCTCGCATGCATCTTTCAGCAAAGTGGCTTTATAAGGATCAACTGAGGAACCTGGAGTGATCCTGCCAGCTTAATGTATATTTGGACTACACGGTTGATTTGGATGCTGCTACAGTGAAACACACAACGAAGTTCTTGCCTTTTTATTTTTGCCTTTTCTTTTTTTAAGGGCTTTTTTTTTTTTGCATTTTTGAAAAAATGCTGTTGTAGTATCCATGGTAGTGCTCCCTGCCCTGCACGTGCATCTCCTTGTATGTCTGGGTTTCTTAGCACCATCAGGCTTTCCCAGGATAAGACGCATTTATGTTCTTCTGCAGCCAATGGAAGAGCTGAGCCCCTCTCACACAAATCTGAGTGGATGGCTCAGCTGAAATTGTGTGGCTCCAGTTTGATGATTTAGCTGACCGTTTTGAAGTCTTCGCAGTGCATATGGAAGAAAGAGGCTGTCTGCCAGTTTCGTTTCGGGTTTTTTTTTTTTTCCAAAACATTTTCAAGTTTTTTTTGTATTCTTTTCATTTTCTGATACAGAACTTGCCGGGAAGAAGCTATAGTGAAGCATTTTATTTGACACCACCGGTGCATTTATTAAGATTTAAAGAGCAACAAATATGTTTCCCACATTACTGAAAGTATAGTGTTTCTCTGCTTCATTGGTCAGAGCTAAATCACGTGTGGTGTTTGCACACAAGCTCTGAAGAAATCTGTGGGACTTTTCCTGGAATATGTGTAAAACGCTGTAAAACTTCACTCAACAGATGTGTACAGTCAGATTTCTAGCAAGTGAGAACATTTTCTAGGACAGATAGTCATCAGACCAAGAGTAAGGCTTCAGTACGGCAACACTTCTGCCAGGAAACTCTTCCTACTGAGCAGGATCCCACCCACGTTAATAGCAAGAGTTTTGGATGGGATAGTGCTTGGTCTTATCCACTGCACTACGCAAACCTGTGGAGAATTTGTCCCAGGCTAGATGATGGGTGGTGGAACTGCCTGACAAAAAGCTGACTGACTACATGCAGTGTAAGTTCAGGGTTGGGGTATTTCACTTAACAGGCACAACATTTATTGTTGCATTTATGCAGACATTAGGGACAGCAGTAAAAGAAACAATCCCAGGCAAAACAAAATTTAATTAATGGCCACGGTAATCTAGACAAAACAGCAAAGAGAGAGAATTTGACTTGTTTCCAGCGAGTATCTGCACACACGCTTTTAATATTAGGAAACTGAAAGGAATAGGGATTAGGAGAGAGGGCTCTGGTTTGCTGACTGGTTTGGCCATCGCTGTGAGCTTAGGATTTGCATCACATCTCTAAAGGTGATGGTTTTCTTCAGACATGCTTAGGATAGCAGGATATTAACCCATCCTAAACTGCTCAGTTTTTGAGGCTCTGTTTTATAATTGGTGGCCTTAAGTTCCATTTAATCAGGGGGTGGAGATCAATTTTTTTCTAAGAAACACAGGGATGCATTTGAAACAGCATCTCCAACTAAATGACTCAGCAAATGTCGGTAAAAAAATGTAATTCACAATTCGTGAAATTAGCCATGTTTCCAGGTAGTAAAAGTGCTTGTTAAAATAGTTGCTCCTCTACAGTTACTTGAGATCAATTTGGAAAAAAAAATAAAGTATTTTTTCAATACTTCTATAATTTGTGTTAAACAGTTGTATCTTTCACTCATGCATACCACATCCTAACTGTATGAAACACCGTGCAGGAAGGTTATAGAAAAATTAGGTCCCAGGTTAATTAAGAGTCACTTTTACACTGGGATGCACTCTAAACTGCGATTGCATAAAATTGGCTTGAATAGCTTCCAAACCTACAGAAAACATCAACAGTCCTACTGGATAAAATCTTCAACTACAGCCACTAGGTAATTTATACTGTTAGTGCATAAAACAGAACCGAGGCACCACAAATACTCTGTCAAGGCACTTGTTGCCTTTAGATTTCCACAGTGTAGCACAGATCACCGGGAATGACCTCCGTAGCCAGGAACTACACTCCAGTTCTGCACTTGGGAAAAATAGGCCCGTTCAACTCTGCAAGTCTTCTCTTCCTCACTGAAAAAGAAGAGGAAGAGGAATCAGTCATGGCAACGGGGAGATGTGGATGGCAGGCTTGGCTGACCCGCTGTGGAAAGGAGATGAGAGATGTACTTTCTGCCAGGAAATTCCTGCTGTAAGCAGCAGGCACAGCCTTACGCAGTTTAAAATCAAGGAAGGTAAGAGGAGGTTTCCGTCCCTATGGATTTTTAAGGCCAGAAGCTCCTTTCAGCCTTGCTTCCCTTAGTCTACACTCAATCATATTTCACACATTTTGTCTCTGTAATCTGACTTTGGCCAAAGCGTCATCTGATGCTGACTGATGTAAAGACAGCAGGAGATGGATGCCACAGTTTTTCCTTTGCTAGATTTTCTAAATTGCCATTTCAAATTAAAAAAAAAAAAAATTCTATCTCATTTCTTATCTTAAGCCTGTAGCCTCCAGCCCTCTGATCATGGCTAAAATGGTCGAAGTGGTCTTCTGTCTACTCTTCAAGTTGATTTACAGCTCTGACAGCTACACTTGTGACTTTTCAAGAAATGTGAGGAAAAAAGGGGGGAAAAAAAGGTATAAAGAGGATGCAGAAGTTAGCTCATGAGGATGAATGTCAAAGCCTTCATAGTTGGTTCATATAGAGTATCTTAGAGAACAGAAGCTATAGGACCAAAACCAAGTTCTGGTAGCATCAGGTGATGGTAGGCAAGAGCACTGGAGTGGAGCACAAGCAGAGAGCTATTGCTGACAGGGAGGAAAATAAAGTTTTCTATACTTATACGTGGTCCAGGTGTGGAGCTGAGACGCTATTGCCAGAGACCATCATACCGGTGAATACGAGCTGCAAACAAGAACCAAATCAGACAAAAAAGCAGATCTTAATGGTCAAAGAGGCAAAATGCACAACTGTTACATGGAAGGCAAGTTGTGAATTCCTCCCCTTACAGCAGGACAATTAAAACACTAGATCCAAATCTTCCAGCTGATTAGTTTGTATGCCAGGTGCTGCACGGTGATTAAAACCCTTGCTCTGTTCCAGAGGACACAAAATAGCAAGCCTTTCCTGTTGCAGCTCTCTAGTGACCAGGAACGCAGCCACAGGCAGAAAAAATACGCAGTGAACCGTAACACTCTGTATTCTGTGCGGTCAGTGAAGAACTGGCACACACCTCTATGCTTGGCTGTGCTTCCTAGGAGCACAGTATTGGCTGAAGCAAGACTGATTTATTTTTTTGTTTTGGTTTTTTTTTTTTTTTAAACACAGCATATTTATCATCTGTCTAAATACAAGAGCCACTTAAAGCTGTTTTTCTGTGGCTTCTAAGCCTGAAGTTGATCTGTGAAGGGACAGATGACCCCCGCCTGCGGTGGTGAACCATATACAGATTAAAATAGTGGTTCCGGTTTTCCACAGCTGGCATTTACACGTTAGGTCTTTTCTCGGACCCTGCCCATTGGCCCTTGCTTTTCGGATGTGTCTGGCAGAACCCAGCAGCACTAGTGGCGGAGGGGGTGTCCCTGGGCTTCTCCAGCCCACCCTCTCGCTCGCAGCAGGGCTCTGCCCCGCACTGGATCAGGGCAGCCACTGGCTCTGTCCCTCCGGGTCTTGCAAACTCCCGCCCTCCCCAGAAAGAGCTTCTTCCTAATGTACAAAAAGGACAATCTGCAAACTTTTGCTTATTCCTCCCAAATATATTGTCTGCCGCTGCCGAGAAGGATTTTGGCACTGTCGTGTTTGTAACCACCCTACCCATGCAGTTAGGGGCTGCTGAGTACAGCGTGACTGGTACACTGGCTGCACTCAATACTGCTCTGCTGGAGTGATTTGCAGTGCCTTACAGCAGCTTGCAGCCATGCAATGGAAAGCCTCAGCCGCACGCATCGGCTGAAACGGCAGTCTGCAGACTTCACCGCGTTTTGCTTCACAAGCACTTCTGATCGCTTCACTGAGAGTACAAAGATAACTCAAAGCCATGTGGCTTCCCGCCTCTCCCTAGAAACACTTCCAGTTTGTTTTGCTGAAGGGAATGGGCCAAGTCCCACCGCCATCAAAGTTCAACTCTACTACTTTTCATCTCCTTGTTAAAATGGGAACGAAGCGGGAGGAAGAGAAGCAGTTGGCAGGAATCACAAGTGCTGGCACCTCATAACCTATGTGCCATATGCTGTATCACGTGCTGTACCGAAACACGGTAGTAGCTCTTGCTACTTCCCAACAAGACCTGCTGTTACTGCCAAAAACCCTGCCTCTTCTGTGAGTTACAGCTGCCCAGTGCTTCCAGATTTGGAGCACAACCCATTGCCTGGCAGACAGCAGCTGCATTAGAGACCCAGTCAGTGAAGCTGCTTTCCTCCTCAAGGGGCAGGGCATCATCAGGCCCTTTGAGAGGTGGTTTCTAATTCAAGCCCATCCACCGGAGCCTTCAAGTGAACAGTTCTGCCCTTCTCCCACCAGGAATTGCCCACAGGACCTTCCCGTGCTCCCTGGCTTGCAGCCATCCCGACTCACCTAGGTCATTGTTATTCATCATGGCATTGGAGGCGCGGAGCCGGGGACCTTGCTGAGTGAAATGGTAGCCAAACTTCAGCAGGGTGGTGTTTTTTTCCAACATGTTCGCAATTTCCATTTCTACTTTGTTGCCCAAGGGCTGGCTCTTTTGAAAGCAGAAAGCAGAAAAGCAAGCTGGTCAGGTCAGAGGGTGATTCAGAGAGAGCACTTACATCTGGCATCTCCACCCCTTCCCTTCTTCTTTGGACCTGTTGGTCCATTTGGCATTTCTGACTTGGTGAAACAAACTGGTGGCCTGTTCCTGGTACAACCAAGTGGCTCCAACTCCTCTAGTAGACATTCCCACAAATTATCTTGCCCAAAGACTTTATTTCTTGGACAGATATCCAGCTAAGAGATGTCTGGAGAAATGATGATTTCTGAACTCCCAGTGACGTCTCCCTGAGCTCCCCATAGCTCAGCTGCTTCACTATACCCCCTGGGTTTCTGGGGGAGCTAAATTTGCCATGGCACCTGTACCACTGCACACTCTGGAGTTCTCCTTCTCTTCCCCTTGCACGGTAGCAAAAAAAACCAAAACCCAAACCAGTTTTACTAAATAGACTGTATTATTTAAGTCTCTGCAAGAGCTTGGAGCAAGGTGTGATACTGGACAGGTGCATCACCGCTCTCCAGGGCAGCACCAGGAACATGCAAAGCTGCTTGCAGTCCCCAGCCTTTGTTAATTACTGTAGGAAGTAGCACATACTGCCCAGGAACTGAAGGGGCAGAAACAAGGGGCTGAAACCTCTTCAAAGCGATCTGGCAGCGGTGGTGGGCTGCCACCCTCCACCTTGACCAGCCACCCAATTACCCGATTTCCCACACCCAAGACATGTTCACTGGATGAGAGCTCCCACTCGTGCACGCTTTACCTGGTTGTCGATGCGCAGCTCTACAAGCGATGTGTTGCCCTGGAGCGCCTCGACAACAGCCAGGATCCCTGACCCAGAAATGAAGTTTGATTCCACGTTCAGGCTCTTCAGCGTGTTATTGACCTTCAGCATTTCTGCCAGTGCCTGCAGGCAAAGGTGGGTGGGAAGAGCTGGCAGTCAGACAGGCAGGGGCAGAGCACCCCGGAGCAGCAGGGGTTTGACTCCCCTTGCCTCCAGAGGACACCAGGAGGACCCCGTGTGCCGATCAGTTTCACTGCCACCAGATGGGAGAGCTCTGTGTGGGGTGAAGGGAGTTTCCCCCTCTTGCAGGGGGATTCTTGAACACGAGCATGCTGGAGGCCACAGCAAAACCTCGTATGGACAAACCCTTAGGGCCACCCCAAAAGGCGACAATCCACACCTGTGGCTGCCCCGTGACAGCTTCATCTATCCCTCTTCTAAAGCCAGCGTAGTGATGGCAGGGATGGTGGCCGCTGTCTGCCCTGCATCCTGCCTCATCGCCTCCCTGCCTGAACTGTTCCTCCTGTGCGGGGCTGAGATGCTTCCCACCACAGCAGGCAGAGAGAAGACGACATCTTCTCCACATCCCAGATGTCTTCCCAAGTGGCATCACAACCATATTAATCACTTTTGCTTCCCTCAGCGGGTAAGACCAGAAGTGGGCTGGCACACTCCCAATCCCCCCTGACCCGACCCGATCTGATGCTCTCATTTTGTAAGCTGCATGGGAGGACCCGTCTACGTCATGGAACAGAAGGACCAGAAGGTGATGCCCAAGTGGCAGTGCTGAGCTGCAGCCACTCACGCAGCAGGGCTCCACAGCTCCCCTAGCCCTGCGTAGTGCCCCACGGGCCCTCAGACAGCACCAGTGATGCCAGCATCAGCTTCTTCACCGGTCCAGCATGACCGAAATAATGTGAGAGCTGTACTCACCCTCCAAAAAGAACTTTTATCTAACAGGGAACTGGTGTCCACCTGTTTGTGGAGGTAGGTAGGGGTGGTCTGGGTGAAAACGAGCAAAAATTGGCTGCGATGGTGCTGGAGGAGTGTGCAAGGACGCAGGCTGGAGGGTAGCACGAGGGCCACGCAGAACGCTCGGCACCTCCCTGCATCCTCACTGATATTAAAGACCACTCACAGCAGCCAGAAAGACCCTTTATCACCCACAGAGGCCACATGTAAGAAATGCAGGGTCCTGCTTAAGCACAGGTCGGCACAAAGGAACGTACGAAAGAGAGCCGGAGCAGTCATGTGCGAGGGGAGGGATGAGTGTGCACACAGCAGTGCACCAACAGGCTTTGTACCAACAGCGACAAATGGGGTGGCCCTGATGCAGGATAAATTGAGAGAGACAAACTGCTTTTACAAAACGCCACTCAGAAGTCAGTCCTTGTCTCCTGCTCCTTTTCCAGGAGATCCTTGAGGGCGGGCGGATATGAGACCAAGTGGATTTACAGGATTGTGTCCTGCAATCTCTGCAGCTGAAAAAGGACGAGCAGGAACCAAAGCCTGTCTGTTGCTGGCTTTCACTAGCACTCCTGAAAATGAAAGACCTGCACCAAATGCCAGAGGTGCAGAATCTGTCAGATGCACTGTTAAGGCGCAAAAGCAGTCAGTCAGCGACTCCGAAAATACCTTGCCCAAGAACAGTTCCTGTCACAACTTTATGACGATGAGCCGACAGTACTTACGAAAGCAACAGGATCGTTGCTCCGTGTCCCAACTATACTGAACTTCTTCACGTAGGTGTTATTTTTCAGTGCTTCTGCAAAAGCTTTTAAAGTTGGTATGGGAATATTCTGTGAAAAGAAATGCAGAAAACCTGTGTTAGGCCATCATCTGTATGAAGGAATATGCAATACATTTAAATGGTACTCTACTTCTTAGCAAGGTCAAATCACCAAATGCACCGAAGTAATTTAGGAAGGGGTCGATAAATGTTTTTACAAGTTCTCTTGCTATAATCGGCATGGCCTAATGAGCATGGCATTTCCCACTCTATTGATAGCTCACTGCCTTGATTTGAAGCCACAATGGCTCTGCTGTTTAATTTAATTGCCCAGAAACACAGCTACTTACAAACGCAGGCATTGTGGGGATGTATGTAACTAGGATCCATGAGCCTACAAAGTACTGCTCCTGCGCATTTTAATACGAATGACAGCACTGAGCAACATTCCTATCATCTTCAGTAAAATTTCCACCTACGAGGCCTGATCCAGAAAGACCTGAAATGACCTCCTTGTAGTACAAACCACAGACACCTCCAAGTGCTTTATACATCTTTCAGGCTAACATTTGCCATGGTAGGTCTTAATCCAGAAAATAAATCCACGCTGCTTATTCTGAGTTCCTACAAAATTAGTGTTTTTCACTTAATCAGGTACTTTATATACCCTTTTCAGATGCACAAATTTTCACATGTCTAAAATTTTAAGTGGTATCCTCAGCTTAGACTTGTTGCCACGCCATTTGGATCCCACCATGTGGAATCATCTACAGTCAAAGCCATCTGCAGAGCCATAACACAAAGCCCACCAGCTTACCGTGTCCACTGCCACTGCCCAGTTCTCCAAACCATGCCCCAAAGCCCTGAGTCCAATACACAAAAAAAGTGCCTGCCCGCCAGATCCTCAGCCTGCTGTCCTCAAGGGACGTTCAGGCCAGAATTAAATACATGAAAGTAAAAATCTGTTCGTTATAGAAAGGTGCGGGTGGCATAGCAGAAGTGTTTTTAATGTGCACATGCAGATAACCATATTCTTGCTATCCGAATATGTCATCATTCAACAGACCCCGTGAGATGATGGTCCTGGAGTCAGGAAGGAGAGATGGAAACTGTATTTTTCAGTATGTGTATGTGCCCCAGAGGCAACATAAGAAATGGTGCTCTGTCCTGATTTGCTTTCTACAAGAAAAGACCCACAGAAGGGATGGGTGGGAGATGGAGAGGGCTACCTGCAAGAAGGGACGTTTCTTAGTATTTTTGTATTTCATGTTCTTTGCAAGTGTCAGGATTATGAAGACTTTGTCCTCCCACCATTTTATCTTACATAAACAGCCCTTCCACCAAATGTGCCTGACTAAACCATTAAAGCAACCTAGAATGCCTTTAACCAGGCAGGCTGGAGACAGACGGGTTTCCCAAACTACCCTCAACACATCTCTGCTCTTCCAGACACCTACAGATATCCTCCTGCTACCAACCCCACACCGTTGTCCCACAGCAGGAAACAACCCCTGCTGCCCAAAACAGAGATGGGAAGCTCTGGTGTCTCTTGTGTGGCTACACACAGTGTGATGGTATTACTCTGTGCAGCAAAACAGACTTGGTCTCTGCCTTCTGGGTATGAAATGTTTGGTCCTGTTATTAAGAACGGAGAGTGGACAGGAGCCAATACCATAATATTGTTAAGGTTGACTTCCTCAAGGTCAGGATCATTGCTTTGTATTCGTTTCAGAGTTTCCTCCACATCTGTTGAGTTTGGTTCCTCATCAGGAACTGGTTTGTACTGTGTGGGCTTAATCACACCTGCAAGCAAAAAGCAAGACACGTGAAACCGAAAGCACCCTGAGCAGCAGGATGTTCTCTTTGGGTGTGTTTCTCCTCTTCCAGAAGCAGTGCTGGGAGAGGAAAGCATGACCTGACAAACAGATGGAAAATGAGAGACTGAACAAGCGCTTGTCAGCTCCACGTGCACTCAGGTGGGGCCAACCAGCACAGGACAGCCGGTAACTGCTGCTACATGCTCTCAGGGTCCAAAACTGGGTGATGGAGGGCACGCTCCCTGTGTGGGGCTGTTGCCTGGGCCTGTGCGAGCTCCTGGACAGCACCAGGGCAGCAGCTGAGGTTGTGCTGGCTCACACAGGGCAGGGAGGCACCAGAGACAGCCCCAGCAATCACAGGCTGCTCTGACATTCATGGCTCCAACCTTCAGCCCAAAAATAATTCCCACTTTGCCTCTGCTCGCAGCTTCAAAACCAAACGCTTCAGCCTGCTAACATTCTAAATCACTTACTGTTGAGCCCTTCTTTGTTCACGATGGTGCTGCTCCCCAGTGCCTCATAGTACTGCTGGTTGCTCATCAAGGTGTGCATGCCAAGGATGGCTACAGGAGAAGAAAAGGAGAACATGACTTGAGTTATGCCAGGCTCCAAAGCCAGAAAGAGACGCGTACGTGCCGTGCTGCCCAGGATGGGGGTCCGTAGCACATTACCTTTCCCTGTGCAAGCACAGAACAACATACAAAGGTGGGACCAAGCGCCCCGGTATCATATATACACAACAGGGTGTATTGTGTATTTATTCAAATGTGCTCCCTTTTTTATTCCAATGTAGCTTGATTCATAGGAGAAGAGGAACATCACCTTGCAGACAACAAACAGACAAACAGCTGAGGCTTCCCAGGAGCTGACTTGATTCAGCATCATGCAAAAATAGCAAGGGGAAGACAATAAAACACACCAAAAAAAATGCCATTGGTAGGATTTAATCTGCGGAGTCCAGTCCAACAGGAACCTGCACAGCCTCATCAGCCTTGCTGACCCGGACTTGTGCTACTACGCACTGTGACAGTCCAGTTTTTGAGGTGAGCTGTGCCCTGTGCAGAACCAAACCAATCCCTCAGGCAGCAACATACAAGGTGACTGTCATCCAAAGCATGGCAGGGCACGTCATGTTTTTACTCAAGAAAAAGTGGTGGTGTGCCTTGAATTGATCTTTGTACGCTTGGAAGTTGACGTTGTGAGAAGCTAAAGCTCTGCTGGCTCAGTCAAAATACAAAAAGTGATGGTATGAACAAAATTCAGAGAGTGTAAGAGCCCAAAAGCCAAACTTCTGCAAGTCTGTGTATCTCAGGCTCATGATTGCAAAACCAATATGCAAATGCACAAAGAAACATGCCCAGAGGGATCTCCTGACCATCTCACCAGCTGCAAATAAGCACTGGGAAGCCAATGGCTTATGAACATTTGGGCAAAGACTGTTTATAAAAATAACCCTGCTACTCACAGAAAGTTCATGTTTGAAAATAAACTTCTTTTAATCAACCCTTTTTTTAAAAATAACTATATGACCTTCTAAAGAAAAATGCAGATACGTGAATATTTGTTATAAACAGACACGTTCGAACAGTTGTTGACTTCTGGATGGGCATGGTGGTTAAAATAAATAAAGGATAATTCTCTCCCTAAAATTCAAGTGTGCCACCGCAAAGGCACTTTGCTTTCCCATGAGCTGTTCCTCTTACGCTTGGCTGGCATCAGCCCATTGCCATTTGGTCGGTGCCGTGGCCAAAAAGGCCTGTGAGCTGCAGGAGAAGGCTATCCCTGAGGTCCATCACATGAATGGCATCTGTTACGGTGACAGCTCACCGTGACTCCATGTCTGGGTTGCACAGGCAGGACAGCCTGCAGCAAAAGGTGCCAACGAACACCACCGTCCACTTCCCCACCCCATCCCCCAGCACATCCCCAACTGGACTGCACAGAGCCAAGCAGTCTCCATCTGAAAGCCTGAGTGAGGCTAGGCACTTTGAGTTTGTTTGTTTGTATTTTAGCTGGCTCTCTTCTCTGCCACGTACTCACAGCTGAAATTTTCAGGACCGCAACACAGCTCGGAAAAGTAATTCGTCGTCTTAGCATTTTGAGGACACACATACACCCCAAACACAGCGTACTCTGACAATGAAATCTCTCCACCAGCCAGGACTGTGAATATCTGAGCTGCAGACAGAGGGATGGATCTGCTGTTATGTCCACATGGGGTTTGGGGAGGGCTGGGGTTTGTGCTGGTAGGCAAGAGGGACCCACTCTTTGTAAGTCTGCTGCTTACTGTATATTATTCAAGAGAACCCAAGCAGGATGAAGGCATCCCGTTTCTGCCTCCCCTAGTTGACCAAAGGCACGGGAGCCCTTCCAGGACTTGTTAGGAGCCACCCACAAGAGCCATCCTACTGGCCTTGCCAAGGAAGGCATCCAATACACACTGTCAATATTGAGATTGCAGCACAGCTTGTATCACACCAGTTCTCCTCCTGCCACTTCAAGTGTGTTCGCCCAACAGTTGCAGAACAAGCTGCCCCGAACAGCATTTCTCTGTGAAAATACTTGCCGCACAGATCCAGAGCTTAGAAAGGCAGATTTCATAGGATAAGTCTTTATAGCACTCTGGGAGTGCAGTGAAAAAGCAAAACCCACAGACACAAAGCTTGGCCAGCGTATGTATGTTGGAAGCCTTAACGCAGAAACACATTTCTAAGCCAGAATATGCTACTATTATGTAGAAGATGTCTAGTTGGTGTAGTTATTCTACAGGCTATGTTACAGACTTCTAGCAAGGAGGGACTGTGAAAGTCTGAAGGAGACAGAACTGCAAGAAGCAGCCAGTAGCACTGAAATATTCATTGACTGCTACACCATCAGGGGACATGTGAGCTCAGTAAAGCACCAAGGGGGTGTTCGCACACTCCTTTGGCCAAGGCATATCCTATCCCAGTCACAAAGCCAAGCCCACGCCACTGCCTTCAGCAAGACACCAACACTGTCATCCCTAAAGCAGCAGAGCAACGAGGTGCAAACCCCTCAGATGGGGACCATGCCTGTCCTGCTCAGTTTGCACGGGGCTTGTTTAGCCCAGTGAAGAGCATGCTGTCGGGGCTCCACCAGCACCTGCAATCACTCCATCCCCCTCTCCAGCTCACTGTGCATTCCAATCCTGCTTCTCAGTCGTCATGAAGTACACCAGCCTTTTAACGCTGGATTCCCCCACCCCTGAGCTAACACAAAAACGACTGACCGCACAAACTGCAAGAAATCTTTAGCTTTAAAATGTGTTTGAAAAGCTCTTTAACAAACAGCAGCCCTGAGCATCCATTGAAAGACTGCTCTAACCTGACAGCTCCTTTAATAGGTTGCACAAGAAATCCACGTTCTCACTGGGTCTGCTTGATTGTTTCCTAGAGGTTTGGCTTGAAGAAAGCTGTGCTCCTGAAGGTGACAGGCTGCAATTTGCAAGATTCAGTGGCAGAGACAGGAGAAGAGATCAAACAGCACACGCTGTTCCCTTGGTAAATCCTTCTTCTCCCTCCTCAGCTTTGGTCCATGCTCGTGATTAAATCACATGGGCTGAGAGTAACTTTAAATATACGCTTCTTTTTTAACACAAAAAATAATCCCGTCAAAACTGACAGCATTCAGATAAACTGCAAAAACGCTCAATAGCTTATTTCAAGCAAAAAGAAATGCGTCGTCGAAAAACTCGAACGCCCCCAATTCACATGAAACTGTTTTACCAGCAATGTCACAGAGCTCCGCATCAGAGGCATTAGCAAGGGCTTCCTCCAGTTCCGGCTCCAGAGTCACGCTTTCCAAAACAGGATCCATTGGCTTCTGCTTGGGAATCCAAGCTTTTCCTATAAATGCAGAGTGAGGTCACTGTCAGTATAGCTCTCCCACCTGTTTCACAGCCAGCCGCGCAGATGCGTTTCCATGGGGTGAGATTTGCACAGCGGAAAGGACAGAGGGGGCACAAGGACCGAGAGAAAAACCAGAGGAGACACTGAATCCCTTCCCATTAGCTCGGTCTGAGCGCTGCTGCAAGGTGAGCCGGAAGGGACTTGCCAGACACCTCCAAGGGTGGAGCTGGATGCTCTCAGCAGTGCAGCATCTCCAAATGCCCCGTAGGACATTCGTACAGGACGATAGCTGTTCAACACACAACACTCCAAAAGCCACGCACAGCCTGACCCGGCAGGACTTTGCTTCTTTGAAGGCTGCGTAAAAGGGATGGAGATTTGCCAGCGCTCACATGGACCGCGGGAAACCAGTGGCTCGGATGCAGCACTGCGCAGGACCGGTTCTGCCCCAGAGACAGCTCCCGCTGCTGACTCCAAACGCACGGTGGCAGGGCAGATGGACAGCACACTGGTCAAAAGAGGGTGGAAAGGAGGTGGTGGAGGGGGTCTGGCAGCGGGCAGGGATAGCAGGCGGCCATCCACAGGGTGCAAGGAGGAGCAGGCTTGGGGCAGCTGGTCTGGGTCAGCGTTGCTGCAGAGGACAGTAGGGAGAGACACAGAGGGCATGCCAGATGGAGACCTCCATGCTCTATCTCCCGGGACAGCAACAGGCCAAGGAGCAGGCCTTCTCCCTACGAGCCAGAGGTGCGAAGCAACAGGTACAGCTGGTAAGGCAAAGCTGCCATCTCAGGCAATCGATTGTGGCCTTTTCCTTAAAGGTGGCTGCCCACATGGACAAAGGGGCTGTGAAGCGAGTGAGGCACCTCCAGCCCAGCTCTGAACACGGTGGGCTCCTCAGCACTCCCCCATCCCGTTGCCCAGGAGGATCACCAGACGATCCACCACCCTTCCTCTGCCGGAGCTGGCTGTGTCCCAGGGAGGCCTGGGGGGTCCCAGGGAGGGGACGGGGTTGATGGCACTGCATGGCTGCTCCCAAATCCTCACTGCTCCCAGTGCCAAGGGGCGGGCAGATCTCCTTAGGGAGGCTGAACGTGTCAGATCTGAGGTTCCACAAGAAGGCACGTCCCTGCGACTGCCACCACCACCAAGGAAAAGAGAGAGGATTGTGGTGTTTTAACAAAGCAGTGCAGGGAGCAGCCTGTGGGGTGAACCCAGAGCTGCTGTGAGACGGGATAGGAGGAGGAAGAGAAGGGGGAGGAGGAGGAAGAGGGATCCCAGAGCATTTCAGAGCAGTCCCCCTCCCCTGAAATACTCCAGGATCACTGCAGAGAGATAGCGAGTGCAAAGCTCTCGGCCTGGCACGCCAGCGAGGGCTATTTTTGTCTCCCTCCCGGCTTTGAAACCAAACTCAGTGGCACCAAAGGGGAGAAACAAAGATCCTGCTGCTCAGGGATGTGCAGAAACAGAAAGCAGCTTAATTTAGCCTCAAGGAACAAGCAACTGCACTTCGGGCTCCCCCGGTACGAACTGAAGGCGGCTATAAACAGCCTTTAGCCAAAGGGCCCATCTCCTGCAGCACACTGCCACCCTGACGAAGCAGGGCAGGAATCTGCCTCCTGGGACACAGCTGCTCTCGCAAAAAATAGTCAGAGCATCATGTGTGCCAGCACGGCCGGGCAACTTCTGCAGCAAAATGGCTGGGGAGGGCTGCACCCCTCAGCTCTGGCTCGGTGTGGAGACCCAGAACCATCGTCCCAGCGGACAGGCAGCTCGGCAAACTGTACCCACCCTCCAGTCGGTTCAGCTGGGAGTAGGAAAAACAGGGCAAACTTAATTCTGCTGGCACACAGCAACTGCTGGCACCTCACTGTCATCAAAACTTTTGGGTTTTACTTTTGGAAAGTATCTTATCTCATGTAATACAGTCATGCTGTATTCCAGGTTTGAACTTCAAATTAAATGGTGCATGCAAATGCAGCAGTATGTATCGTAATACAGCATGTATAAACACACCAACTCCTATCCTGTCCAGCCGCATGGCCAGGGACAGCACCCCTCATGGCAAACTTGTAAACCACCCTTCGAACTGCAAACCTGGTGGATTTATTTCCAGCTCTGTCACAACTGTGAATATGTAATTTACCGTCCCTGGCTCACAGTCAATGTAAGTGGTGTCTTCACTCAACAGCATGTTACAAGTGAAAAGACGTTTAATGTATTTGAGATGACATCAGATTGAAATATGATTAGCTCAGACCAGGAACCGAAGACTCAAAATGCCTGAAATACTCCTGTCTCCTGTGAAGCACTGCTAGGACTTGCTGGGCTAGCCAGGCTTGAAGCCAGCGCTGGGCTGAGGTACGTTTGAAGGTGCTAAATCGCTCTTTCTGATAGCAATCAATTTACTATTTTCCTTTACTTCTTTCAAGGAGAACTCTTTTTTTTTTTTTTTTTTTTTTTTTTTTGCTAAAGATACCACCTCAAGTTTTATTAAATGGACAGATTTAACAGGACCTCTTTCTCAGAGAAGCAGGTGGATCATTAAGGAGGCAGCCTTGAGAAAGACCTCGGTTGGGAAACACGCTCGCACGCCCACATTTTTGTGCACTTCTTTTTTGACATGGGGCAACCAGTACCGTAAACAGCATACAGATCTTCTGCTGCAGGGGGACCATGGTACAGAGGGAGACGCACCAGCAGAAAAAATGCTGCTGAGAAGCTCCTGAAACACAGAGGTAAAGACTGACCAGACCACATCCCATGTCAGATGATATTCAGAGTGCTAATGGGAGCAGGAAAGTCCTCTGGATAATGGGACGAGTCCCAGGAGAACAGGAAAAGATGCCAGAAGGAGCGGAAAGAGAAGAGGCAGAGCAAACCCCTTGCTCACAGGCACCAGGGCCACACAGAGCAAGGGGTGCAGCAGCCGCCGCAAGGTACAGTGCAGTAAGACAGAAACATGCAAACTGCAGGAGACTGGGAAATGAGGCTGGGGTTGTCAAGAGCTGATGAAGACTAGACAGGAACTGTTGGGATCATCACAGCTGATGGGAGCTGTGGAGTTTCTCTGTATCAACATGAAGTTCAGACTGTAGGGATGGAGCACGAAAGGCAACGGTGGAGGACAGAGCACAGCTGGCCAAGCTCACAGGAGGACAGGGCAGAGGAAAACAGAAGACAGAAGATGATGTTTTCCCCAGAGCTTGATACACCTGCAGTGGAATGGGGATGGAAAGAGGCTGCACAGTGGTACAGCTTCTGTCCATCACTTGACAAAGCAAGTGGCACCCAAATCAGCAAGCACACGGACCTGTTGGGCACACCCCAGTTTATTAGCCAGCCTGGGCTGGGGCTAGACAGCAGAGAAAGCAGATACACCACCCTCATGGTGTCAAAATGAAGTCGTGCTTAGCAATGCAGGTCAGGCATAACCCTTCTGCTGTGCACCCACTGTGCCTTCATCGTGATGCATTCATTGTGGCTCAAAGGGATGACATTACCTCTCTTTTCACCCGTGAAAGGAACCAAGTCTTCTCTGTCCTTAACATCCTTCGCCTGCTTTTCTAGGTGGGCCATGAGTTCCTCCCTTTTGAACGGGCCAGTTGGTGGCTTTTGGGTCTGATCCCGCTGCCTGAGCCCTGCCGGCAGCAATGCGTTCTAGGCATGGAGGGGAGAAACACAGGTTATCTCTGCAGACCACGATCCCCGTCTATCAAACGCTCTCCCCTCTCCACCTTCCTCATTGCACTGTCTTTCTTCCACATTGCTGGACAATTGGCTTCTCCTTGTATCAAAGGTTATCTCCATCCAACCCCACTGATTCCCGCATCATTTGAGACACGTGATGCTCCTTCCTCCCTCCAATTTCAAATGCTGGCTCCACTACGAAATCTCCACGCTGCCAAATGGGTGTTTCTCTACAACAGCAGGTCCAGCCCTTCCTCTGGGGCCTCTCAGCCATCCCCTCCTGCTCCTCCTAGCCCCCTCCCCACACCCTCACCATTTCTGCTGCTTCTTTGCAACATTCGCAGCGCCAGAACCAAGCTGCTAAACTCAACTGATCCTCTCCTCCCTACATGTGTCCGTCCAAGTGCCCACATGCCCCATGTGTCCCAACAAGAACCAGTTCAGGGAAATCCCACGGTCTTTCACAGAGCAGACCAGAGAGCCATGGTGGTGTCCTCTGCCTTTCATGATCCACCACAAAACTGCAGGCAGGGTTTCGTAGAGAAGGTCACTCCATTGCAGTCCAAAACCCCTGTGAACCTCAGCCCTTTTTCAAACTGCCTCCTTGTTATTCAGTCACATTAGCCACTATGGGAAGTTCCTTTGTGCCTGACGCATATGGCACGTAAGCACCTGCTTATATTTAAATATAGAACAGCCTTAATGCAGTAAGACTATTCCCAGATTTGACACTAAGCACATTCTTTAAAGCTTTGCTGGATAGAAGTCAACATTTACTTTTTAAGACATCCAAGGTGATTTTGAACAGCACGTTGATTTTTCCATGCCCACCTAATAAAAGTAATTATTTATAATTTATATCTGTATCAGTGAAAAGCCTGGGAAGGAAAATGACTAATAGGAAGCAATTAAGACTTGGGCAACCTCAGAGGGCACCCTTGGAGAACTGTGCTAACACACACGCAGGGTGGAAGAGGAAACAGCTTGTGTCCTCAGGCTTCATGCTGTGAGAGGTGACCATGCAATCTTCATGCTTTAACTCCGGTACTCAGCCTACACCTGCACTGACAGATGTTCACAATTATCTTACCTTTCTGCATCTTTCACAGAATGCTGCCCAACTCTGTGTCTTTTGCAGCAGCTGTAACCATCCCATCAGCCCATACGCTTCATCCCAGGAGCTAGCCTGCCACCTCTTAATTGTTTTCCCATGTTGCAATTAAAAATACTGATGATGCAACCTACACTGCCCATCATTTCCCCCAGAAACACCAACTGCATGCTGCAGGAACAATTTCTCACTTGGCAGTGCCCAGCCTCATCATCTAACATTGCCGCAACCCAGAGGCCTGCCAGTTGGCTCTGCACATCCCCCTGCTGCGGCCACAGGACAACGTTGCCTCCAAAAGGCTTCCACTGTTGTGTGTTCACTGCAGTCCCACTGTTTGCATATGCGCAGCTCCTACTGATGTTGGGAAGTTGCTAAAAAAGCAATCGTCCCATTTTGAAAAACTCTGGGATTTGGATTTATGCCTAAATGGAGGAAAATAGAGACCATTTGAAGTTTGCTATGAAAAAAAAAAACAAAAACACACCCAAACAACCCACAAACCCCAAAGTGTTCCCTCCAAGGTGGCCTGATCAGAAGCAGAGATCCAGTTTCCACAGGTTTACTGCCCTGCACCAGCACTGGCTCACATCGGTGCTGCAAATCACAGTGCTCGTCACACCAGAGCACGCACCCCAGGGCAAGGGCAGGGGAGTACCACAGAAACAAAGTCCCACGTGTAGCCCGTGTTTGCGATGGCAAAACTGCTTCTGCTCATCGGCGGACAGTCTCTTCCATCCTTGCACTGAGTACAGGCTCTGCAAAGGATCCCCCTTAAATACAGACCACTAATGCAGCCCCCACAACTACTGAGATTTACCACCTAGCAAATGTTGTGTAAAAGCAACTTACATCAGGATCCAGCTCTTCCAGTTCATTCTCCAACTTCCTGAGCTCCTCCTCCGTCAGAGCTCCGAGGATCTTGTCTTCATCCAGGTCTCGGTATTTTTCTAGCTCCTTTCTGTACGACATCTTAGAGGAGTCCCGTGAATCTCACTTTTATGCCGAAACAGGACCTGAAATGAAAACAAGCAGCGTAACACTGAATACACGAAACACGACACTGCAGCCCGGCTGGTCGGGGAATGCTGAATACCAGAGAGTTGCAGAAGATTTATGCTCAAAGCGTAGCTGACTTCAAAGCCAGGTCAGATTGCTCAGGGCCCCCCGTGTCCACATCCTACATGCAAGTAATGGCCCACGGTCATGAGAGCAGCACAACTTCAGTAGCACATCACTGCTCCATCACAGGCTTACAGGGCAGCACTGAGCAAGTGCCTTGTATGGGACCCCAGCTAGGGATGTCTTTCTCCAAGCAGTGCTAGGTGATAACAAAGCGTCCTCACTGTGTATTTCCTTCAAGGACAATAAACCACAAATCATGAAGTCCACAGCTCTCACGCCCTTACAAGCCCCCAGTAACACCTCCATGCACATGGCACTCCAGATAACGTTGTCACCAGGCGGGAAAACAGATTTGTAGCATCACTGGGTACCTCTGAGCCCTCAAACCTCCACGAGGCTACAGTGGGCTGCACTCCTTCCCCTGTTTTAAAGCCGCAAGGAGATCAGGAAGTATTATCCACTCGTGTTCAGGAGGCGGCCAGTTAAACGTGCTGTTTAGTGACCCACCTGCCCTGAGATCGCGTGTGTTTGCACTGCTGCAAGCTAAGCAGCTGACCTGAATGTCACGGCACGTCTGAAACAACCCTTCAAGAAGAGAAGTGGGAGTAACACACTAAATGACCTATGTGGATAATCCCCGCTGACTTGGGGGGGTTTGTGCCGTGTCTCCGAATATAAAATGCCATACACAATCACACACACACACACAACTGGACCTCTGCCAGCTTGGAAAGACTGCAGTAGACCTTCTGTGAAGGTCAGCTTGTTTAAAATACGCAGGTGGGTTAAAAATACACTCACTACAACGCACAGGAGCGTATCTGACTCTGTTTTTTTTGCTGAAAGTTTCCTTCTGTTCCATAGCACTGTCTATATATTTACATTCTTTTTTTGGCTCATTTTTTGCGGAGAATATTGAACTCTAGATAATTTAAAGATACTTTTCCTACAGTTTAAAAAAAAAATCTTTGCTGTTCTCTCAAGTGGCATTTACATTAAAGTAACAGCAAGCCCTGTGCATTTTTCGGGGAGCCAACCATCTTTTGAGTTTCTATAAATGGCCTCTTTTCAGCTTCTGCAAAGTGTCAGAGCCCTACCCCGAGTCACATCTCTCTGGCTTTGCCCATCCTCTCAGGGCAGATCATGCTCTTATGATTGCTTTTCATTAGCGGAGAAGTCTCTTTACACAACTTACGACGCAGCTGCTGTTCCAGATAGGAAAATTATCTTTAGCTTGGTCACAAAAGGGCACGTTAACGCACACACGGCTCGACAGCAAGCCCTTAAATTTAGAGCCGTCATCTGGTCAGGCGTTCGGTTCCCCCCTGGTGTGATGGCAACTCCTGCATCGCTCGCATTCCTGCCACTCGCCACTTCGGAGGTGGAGGGCTGGCAGACAGGCTGGCCACCTCTGTGGGAAGAACAGCCCCCGCAGGATCCCACAGCCGGGAGGGTGAAGACCACTTTTCCGTCGGGCTGGTTTGCTCTGGTGGGCGATGGCCAACCTGCGGGCACCGGGCTCGAGGGTGGCGTGAGGGGTGAGGCACCTCGAGCCACCGGACTGAGGTGCAGCGGCCGTGCAGCAGCTGGGCTAGGAGCCACGTCCAGCCCCTCTGCCCCAGTGAGGCCGCCCTTCTGGTCAGCGTAGAAAAAAGCAGAGCCTGTATCACTGTTACCCATGAACAACCTCTTGTCGTTACTGCAGTTATTATATGATGCAGGAGACCCTGGAAAAGCAGCCTGGACCTGGATCTGGAGATGCGCTGTGCCACTGCGACCTTGGATGGTAGTGCATGAACCGTGACCAGTCTGTACTCCATAATAGATTTTAAGTTTTGACTATTCTGCTGTGGAAGAAGCTGGAGCTAAGAGCAGGCAGGAAGGCAGAGGATAACCCACCCCAGAGTGCTGAATTCCCTCTAACGGCTTTAAATACTCACGGCCTGCCGCGCACATGGCAACCTCCATCATGGCTGCGTGGGGACAGCTACTCCCAGGGGCAGCCACAGCCCCTTCCCAGCAATGAGGGGTATCCTGCAAGTGGGGGATCGGCCGGCACCAGAGCACGGCCTCCACAGGGCTGACCTTGTCACTTCCCGGCAGAAGGACGGAGACTGTCAGCACCGAGAGGCGAAAGGCAGGACAGACATTGGATGTCAGCGCACACAGCAAGCGCTCCAGCTTTCAAAGCATCTTGCAGAGATACGAAGCCAGGGGGGCTGTGTACGGCGAAGGCCTTGAGGGTTGGGGACAGCTGAAGAGCCCGCTGAAACATAGCTGAAATCCCCCCCGGGGAGAATTTTTGGTTGCAACGTACACCAAGCAGAGCTGCCGGGAGGGGACAGTGCCCTCACAGCCCCACCGGTGCAACCGGATGGTGCCCACGACTCCCGTGGCGAGTGCACCAGGAACACTAACCATGCCCGCGGTGGCAGGAGGTTTTGTACTGCTCCCCGGCCCCCCACACAAGCTGTGCGGGTTTGGCGTCGCATCTCCCATCGCCGCCTCCAGGACCAGTGCATTCACTGGCTCTCCCTTATCTCCACCTCCCAGACCTCTTCCACCCTATCTCGCCAATGAGTGCCGGGAGAGAACGCAAATAGCTCGTCTGCTGTAAATGGCAAGAGGGCTTTGCACTGCCAAAAATAAGAAAGCAGGTAAATTCTGTCTAAGCATAATTATTTCCATTTATACAATGTGCTGAAACATCCACCTCCACAAACATCTCTCCCCGAGCCGTGCTAGGGTTCAAGCATGGTTTAACACAGATTCCACCTCCCTCCCTACACCTGCACTCAAAAAAAAAAATGAGATCGCCCAACACAACTGCAATATTATATTCAAATTTTAAAATCCACACACTTCTGGACATTCAGGAAAGAGTTAACCCTAATTCACCACAAATCTGCTCCACCAAATCTATTCTCAATGCCCTCCTAAGACGGAACTTCAACTTCTTGCTATTTTTCATTGAAGCTACCAACAGTTTTCATTCAATCAACGAATGAAGCACCACAACAAAATATATATGTAATATACAGAAGTTGCTCAGGACTGACACTATTACAACTCTAAGTCCTCAAAAAATTGAAATTTGTACTGACTGCCAAGACAGCAAGGTATTAGGTCTCATTGTCCAAAGTATTCATCAAACACATTAGAAGACAGCCCAAACACGTTAGAAGACAGCCCAAACACGTTAGAAGACAGCCCAAACACTTGCATGTGTAAGTCTGAAGAGCACACAAGTTGGTATGCATGAGGACCAATAAAAAGGTTCAAGGAGAAAAATGAAATTGGATGGGAGATGAACATACACCATAGATCACCTACAAGGAAGACTGTTCCTATCATGAATCTAGGAAAACAAAACCAAAAAGGCAACTTTTGTGATTATGAGCAGGATGGAACAGTTTCTTTCTGAAAACCTCTGAACAAACAAATGGACGCTGTAGAACAAGTGAAAATGAAAAGCATCCTGTACGGCACTGGAAATACTCCTTTCACTGCTCTCCACCGGTACGGCCCCCCTGCAGCACTGCGCCCTTCTGGGGCACCGAAACCCAAGAACAGCACCCATCTCCACGCAGGGAACCGCTGGAGACACAGGGAAGGTGGTCCACATGGGACCACTGTGTCCCATCCATGGTGGAGAACAGGCATGAGGACGTGGTGGTGCTCCTCAAGTGGGTGAGCAGGGAGGGCGAGAGCAGGGCAGCAACGGGCTCAGGCTGCAAGGGGCTGCTCGAGGAGGCTACGGAGCAGCACAGGTACAGCCGAGTCGAAGGATCTGCAGGACCATCCCTCAATGCTCTGACAACCCCAGGAAAAAGAACAAACGGGAAAGCAGAACTGGGTAAAAGCAACAGAAACAGCAGCAAGCAAGACAAATAGCCAAGAAAACGTAGAAGTAAAATGTAAAAGTGTCATAGAGAAAGCATACAGACTGGTTTCCCCCGGGTGCTGTGTAACGTGTTGGGAAGCCCAGCCCCGACCTGCACGAAGTCCCACGTGTGTCGTTGTGCTAACAGCAGGAAATTACCCACAGCCCTTTCCTCTTCGTATGCACATGGGGAGAAAGAGCGACTAACCTCAGCGAAGCATAGGGCTTTTTGGTGATAAATTCCATTATCAGTCCAATCCAGCCCCGATTTCAGCGTTTCGTGGCAGGCTGCAGCACACGGCTGTCAATTCCACGGCCGTGGGGACTGCAGCACGCGGGAGGGTTTGGTGCATCCTGAGTCCCCAGCCATACCTGGCCAGCAAAAGGCAGAAGCCGCTGAAAGCCACAGCTGAAGAAATTAATATACCCCCCTCCAAGCAACCCTCAAATCTACCGGGAAACTTTTTCAGTCCTTTGAAATAAGAAAGCAGACCAGGGGCTTGGTTTCCGAGATAAGGAGGCGGCCAACAAGCGTCACCCGCACAGATATCAGTGATTCTTGGAAAAACTGCCAAGTTTGAAGGCAGAAGGCTATTCAGGAGGAAAGCTGTTTTTAAAGAGCACCGAAGGTCGGAGTAACCCTCGTGAGGGATCGGCTGGCTTGAGAACAGTTCCTATTTGACTCATGCAGGGCTTTGATTTATGAATTTTTTTCGTAGCTTAAGTATAAACCCGAGTCAAAGTTCAGAGCTATTATTTTTACAGTATAAAAATAATAAACTAATGTCAACCAACCCTTCTGCAGTTGCTACAAATCCCTTTTTGTTTTCTTTTGACTTTTACAGTAACTTTAAAGATAAGCACCAGGGCTTTTTGGGGGGGGGAAACTATACATACCTTAAGTGACCATTTCCTATAAACTCACAAGAAGTTAAGTACTTTCTGTGCATACACTTAGACCTCAGTGAATCACCCAGGTGCAAATCCAAGGTGTATGCTGTACAGATGAGAGGAGCAAATGAGCTCCAGTTGGTTTCCTAGATGAAGACTGTATTTTTATGTGG